GGGATGCAACTTCAGCCACACTCGGTGTCCTGGACTGCTGGGGAGGAAAGGTAGAGTCATCCTCCTGTTCCTCATCCATGTCCACCAGGTCGAGGAGGTCTGAGTCGGCATCGCCCTCCGCGTCCTCGCCACCCGGCTCGCCCACGTTTTGATCGAGGAGGTCCTCGAACGATGGGGGCATGAGCAGGTCCTCTTCTTCCATCATGTCCGCCCAGCTTGTGGAGGCTCGCGGATGACGGATATTGCTCGTAGCAGTAGCGGCCAACAGGCAGGGGTCCTGACTGTTCGTTACTGCTACTCTAAGCCTCCTTTCCAGGACTTTCTCTGGCATCAAAGCACAGTGTGGGCATCCCTGAGGGCCACCAGTGAAGCCTGAGCATGCTTGGCACCCATACAGATGATGCACATTGGATGAGGGTCCCTGCCCGAGATGGGGGCATTGATGGGGCACGGGCGGGATGCAGCCTCTTTGGCCTTCGGCTCCGACCTTTTGGCAGGAGTAGGAGCCGCAGACATGGTTAGCGGAAAGGGGTGAGACTAGGCTACACCAGGCTCGTTTCGACACGTTAGCCCGTAAGTAGCTAGGACTAGCAGCGGGTGTTAAATCCGAGCCAGTCGCTGCGAGAGTCAGCTCGTCATGACACGTTAGCTGCACTCCTCTAGCCAATAGAGATTGAAAATGTGACGTCATTCAGGGGTAAAACCGCAAAGGATTCTGGGAACTCGTGGCAAGAGGTACTAGCGCACGCAGGCTTTCAATTGAAATCCGTTACACAGCAATAAAAAGAAACACAAAAATGGCAAGAAGCTGTTGTATTATTAACTGCAATAGCCGGTCGCATGACAGCCACGGGAAGCCGACGGGTAAAGAGATCGGTTTTTATCGGATTACGTCGTTGAAGAGAAATTGTTCGAGTCGTGTTTCCGAAGTAACAAAGAGGCGACTGGATTGCAGCCATTCAAAGACCAAATATAACGTCCCAGAACCCTCCAGCTCACAGGTTAGTCTGCTCCAAGCATTTCCACAAAGGTCAGTCTGCTGAACAGAAATGGTCGTGCTATGCTCCTTTATTTATTGTGCATAAATAGTGAATTGTCCTGACACAATATTGCGTTTCGCTTCTGTTATTATGGTACATTGACAAAAACATATACTTTTATTCACAGGGTAAAACAGGTTTTTTGTATCACTAATTGTCCAGTACGATTACAGCATACAATATTATTGTCACTGCTACATTTCTGTGATGCTACCAGAAATTATTTCCACTGCTAATTAATTACCATTGAGCTCAAAGGTTATATTAATAAACGGTTAACGAATGTGTATTTATGAAGACAATTTGTGAGACTGGTAAACTTATGATACGTACGATGGTCTGTCGTTCTACACGGTGCATTTCAAGGTCCTGCACCCATCCGTCCGTAAACTGTACCTGGGCTTGTTGCAGTGACCTGAAGTTACTAAACTTCATGAGTGTATGCACTCACTCCAAGAACCGTATAATTATAAATATGAGCGTGGTGAAAGTTGGGCAGCACGCTAACGTCTTTTGTCCCTCTGTGTGCTCGTAAGGGTCTAACCCTTTCACTCCTTTGATTTTTTTCCTCGTATCTTTTCTTTGACTTTTCATCAAGTCTGTCTTTGTACATACCTTTTTGGGGGGCAAAGAAAAAGCAACAAGGTATTGGAACCGGAGAATGAACGTTTTGCGGTGCAGCATTTGATGCGGTACTTGGATTGTTTTTGCCTCGAGTTCCCGACATGCAATGCGCGAAAGTCATGTGGTCTGTTAATCTCTATATCATTAGCAACTTAATGCTAACCGAACCCTAGGTCGACTAACAAGCTAATGCTAGTGAGACGCTAATGTGGTTCGTGGCCTGCTAACAAGTTAATGCTAGCCGGACACTGAACGAACAGCTCGCCGTAACGCGTTAGCCCGAGTTACACAACATCGGCTACCTCGCTAACTAAAACCAGGAACCGCTGGGACAGCTCGCCTGACGCATTGCTGTTCCACAGTGCAACTCTAAGTACACTTCTTTCGAAGGACTTACTCAGCACGATCCAAACTGGAACCGGAAAAACTGCGTTCGGCGACGTGCTCCTACACGGGACGCCTGAAAACTGTTAAGCAGCTAATCAAGTTAGCCTGGATGCGCTGTGGGAGCTAAAAGTAGTTTGTCACGGGAAGAAAGCGAGAATGAGTTAGGAGGAGCTGGTCAGCCGTGTTAGAATGAGGGGGCGGAGCCCTGAGCACGGCTCGACAGGTCTGTCATAGACAGACATGGTGGCATTGGAGATTCCGTAGTTGGTCATGCCGAGGCGATTCCCATAGTGAAACACCGAGCGAAGCTAGACAAAGAAAGTAATTTCTTCCTACGAGGTGGAAGTTGCAGACTTTTATCAAGACATTAATTGTTAAGACTCTCACAGCCCTGTACGCATTTCCTGACAGAGTCTCTTATCTGCAGGTATCTGGAAAAGTTTCTCCCTGGTAGCTTGAAAGAGGCAAAGACACTCTCCCAGTGTTGATTAGTGGTTGTCCTACCTGTTTCCAAAGTCTAAATGTGTTATGTAGAATAGATATGATAGGATAAAGACTTCAAATTAAAGTGTAGTTTAATCTGCTTAAGAATACGTATGGTGCTATGTTTCACCACATTGCTGTCATACATAGGCTGACGAGCTTCCTGCTCCAGTTACAACCATGTAGAGCAGGACTGTCCAACCTTTTTTGCGCCACGGACCAGTTCATGTCAAACAATATTTTCATGGACCGACCTTTAAGGTGTTGCGGATAAATACAACAAAATTAAACCAGTACCCAAAAAAAAGAAGATTTGTTCATAACACAGAGAAAAAGACCCAGTGAACCCAAGGTAACAATAAAAAAGATTACAAAATAACGCAAAATAACATTTTAAAAACCATGAATTTCACATAAGTAAAGATGAGTGAACTCAATTTTGTAAATGTGATTTAGCAAGAAATAACGGGAGATTTTGAAATGAATATAACTACTTTGGCAAAATTATCATCTTAATGCCATTATAGAGGGAGCGTGTTTACTGTATACTCAACTGGAGCTCAGATATTAAGGGAGAGAAGTTAGATTTTAATAGCGAGGAATAGCACTTTGTAAGCTGAATACCCAAATACGTGAACTTCTCATAAGCTGTACCGAATGGGAGGTTTTGTAGCCAAGATGAGTTACTCACATGTTACCAGTAGCGGTTTTAGATACGGGCGGTATCGTGGTGGGGGGGGGGGGCGGCATCACGGACATCGGCAAAAAAAAAAAAATGCTCGTACTCATGCTGCCCCGATGTCAGCCAGCGCATACTGGGAATGGCACAGGCACCGATCGGTTTTCTATCGCCCATTTGCTGGGAGTAAGGGCGCCCTCCGTTTGCGGCACAGAGAAGAGAGGGCGGGGCGGCGGGGGAGTCTCTGGCTGGAGCAGCATCTAATAACCAACTCGCAAAATCAAACAAAATAAAAACAAAACAACAAACACGAAAACACCAGACATCATGATACAGACTTTATAACCTAACTTTATAATTTGCACCGATGTTTTTTCAAAATTCTGTACACGAAAAGTGAGCGCGAGAGCCCTCGGTGCACCTGCTCGCTGCTGAAGTCAAAGTAAACTTTATTGTCATCTCCGCTACAGACAGTCCAGTATGTAGAGACGAGACGACGAGGCTGCAGTTACAGCAGTGCAAGTAAACAAACAATATATATAAGAAGAGTAAGAAAATAAATATAGTTTAGGACCAGGAGTAAAGGATCAATAACAATTTAAAATTTACAGTTTGATGATTTAAAGTCTCACACAAGACGTCGAAAGGGGAGGGGCCGGCTGCTTCCAAATAGAGCACATTTCATTTATAATGTTGTAAATCCAAGCCCATTATGTATTCATGATTTGAATCCTGGGTTGTGTGAAATCCCAGAAATGCGCCTTAGACAAAGTGAATCTGTGAACTAAGGTCTGTTAGGTTAAGTTGTGGTGATCCTTGGGTTGAGGGATTTGTGTTCATACTGGAGTGCAAAATTAAAACCAATGTAAGATGGACAAGAAAAGTTCAAAGCCATCAGGTGCTCAGGTTAGAAAAAAGAGAAAAGAAGAGGAGGAGAAACGAGCAAAAGATGCAGGTAAGCAGATGTGTGATTGGATAATGGCAGCTCATCCTGAAACTATCAGAGTCAGAAAACTTTATTAATCTCTAAGGAAGTTATGAGAGTTACAGTTGCTCCAAGAAGAAATGGTAAAAATAGCAACAGTAACAGACTAAACTCCAAACAATACATTATGTTACAGATTTTAATATTAATTGGGGGGGGGCCTCGACTGTGTAGTCGAGGGCCTCTTTAGGATCGGTAAAGCGTTTCTTCATATTGCATAACACCTAGTATCCATCTGCACTTTGCAAATGCAGTGGTGAGGGCACTGGGTGAGGGCACTGGGTGAGGGCACTGGGTGAGGGCACTGGGTGAGTCCGAAGAGGCTTCCAGGCCTACATCGCTCGCATCATTCCTCTTAGGTTTAGGCTTCACAACTGTTGAAAAACTCTCAAAAAATTTATCCACATTGATTAGCAGGTTATAAATTTGCATGTTTGAGCGTATTCGAAGATTTATTTTTTAAGTAATTCTGATGAGCTATCCCATGGCTCACTAGCGCCCCCCTGAGCTCATGCAAGTTCTTTTCTTGTCCTACTCTTTGTTTTTTCTTTTTTCTTCTTGTGTGTTTGTATTTTTGACTGAGAAATGAAATTTTGAGAAACTTGGAGCTTTTTAGCCACCTCGGTGTTTTAGTTTTGTCTTTTTTCCACAAACCTTTTTTGAAGATAAAAACTTCAGAGATTTTAGCCAATATATAGTTTTAGGAATGTATTCAGGTTTATGTTGTGGTGATTTCTGCGCCGTCCTGATGTTTATGGTTGAATTAACGTCTTAACAAGTTTATGTGGTGGTTTGTTTTCAGGTGTTTGTTCACCTGTCCAGTCTGGAGCGAAGTATCCTGTGGTCTCGCTCCATTCTCAACGCCCGCTGTCGCATCTGTAGATGCAAAGGAGATGCAGACAACATGGTGCTATGTGACAGCTGTGACAGAGGACACCACACCCACTGTCTGAGGCCACGCATGAAGGTAGGCACACTACACCGGCACTGTGAGGGACAGCTTTGTTTGCAGGTGCACTAACACTGCATGTTTACAGTGCTGCTGTTTTCTTTCATCTACTATTTTGCATAAATGTGCTAAATTCAGAGATCTAGTGTTCCTTCCTCCTCCTGTGTACAAATTTCTAGTTTCACATATAAAATGTATGAAGTGTGTGAGCCATGAACCAGCAAGTATTTGGAATTAAAAAAACGTGCTCTCTGTGATTGCAAAACCTGCAGGTTGGGCAGTAAGCAGGTAAATGTTTTTTCCTGCTCCACCCAACCTTCTTGAACTTGCCATGAACAGCACCGTTACCAGGGATGTGCATGACAGGCTGAGTGATCGTCGCTGTTGTTACTAGTCAGTACCGGATTTACTAGTCCTTCAGTCTAAGGCTGCGTTCACTCTGCAGGTCTTGATGCTTAATTCAGAGTTTTTGATCAAATCCGATGTTTTTGTCTGCTCGTTCACACTACAAATAAAATGCGACAGCAAACGCGCTCTAGTGTGAACGCTCAAAGTGCCCGCATGCGCAAAAGAAGACGTCACACACAGCGCGCTCTGTTTAGACCCAGAGCAACAGCATGTTTGACTGATGGCCTTAATATAAAGACTTCGGACTTCACGTTTCCCAATTTTTGCTTTAAGTTATTTTGTTATTTACATAATAATGTAAATAACAAAATAATGATCCTTATTGCTGTTTAAGAGAGGAGCGCTGCTTCAAAGGATAGCTGCAGATTTCTGTCAGAATCTGCAGATTATACAGAACAAATAAAATGTTTACGTTGTCTTCCCAAGAGTTTCGCTGGATGACCAGGAAGCGTTCGCGATGTCTTCTCCGGCGCTGATAATTGGCGTCTGTCTTGTGTCGGTGACGTAAAAGGCGGATTTAATGCGACATGACCATCAAACAGCAGTCGCTTTCTGAAACATCAGATATGTATCAGATTCAGCACCACATACGAAAGTGACCCAGAGCGGATTTGAAAATATCGGATTTGTGCCGTTCACACTGTCACACCATGAGGCTGCCCCCAGCTGTTATGGGAGGAGCATGTCATACTGAGAGGAACCCCCATGTGTAGGCCTTAATACGCTGGAGCAATTACATCTGCCTTTTAAACTCTTTGAAAAGAATGAGCTGTGTGCACAGTTGGAAAGCTTCTGATTGTGAGGCAGCTTCAGGCTGAGCACGTGTTTGACATGTTTGAGGGAACCAACCAGTGTGTTTTCACTCAGTCTGTTCCAGAAGGTGAATGGTTTTGTCCAGACTGTCGACCCAAACAGAGATCCAACCGCCTCCCATCCCGTCAGCGCTCGTCTATTGACGAGGAGGAGGAAAGAGACTATGATGATGAGGAAGAGGAGGAGGAAGAGTCTGAAGAGGAGGAGGAGGAGGAATCTGAAGAAGAGTCAGAGGAGGAAGAGGAGCAAGAAGTTGTCGTGAAGTAAGTGTTAAAAATAAATCAATAAATGACCTTGTTCTTCAGGAATGAATCGTTCTGGAGCTTTTCTTTTGAATCTCTGCAGCCCTAAGAAGAGGCAGACTCCACTCCCCAAGGGCAAGAGCCAACAGGCCACACCCAAGAACAGCATCACCACGTCAGGGAAAAACACATCAGCCTCCAAGTGAGTGTCTACCATAGATTGACCTCTTAGGTCATGTAGTCCTGATGGCAGTTTTGCAATATTCCCTGACCTTACCTTAATTCCATTTTATTTATAGTTGCCTCAAGGCACTTTATAATATAAAGTAAAGACCCTACAATAATACAGAGAAAATACCAACTTCATATGACCCCCTATGAGCAAGCAGTTTGGTGACAGTGGGAAGGAAAAACTCTTTTAACAGGAAGAAACCTGCAGCAGAACCAGGCTCAGGGATGATACTGCCTAAGAAAAGCATGTATAATGTAAATGGTACATAGCTGATTATTAGAGATAGGTTGATCATATTTAAGATCGAAGCATTAATTAATGGCAGGACTTCTTTGAGCAGTTTTGTAGGAATGGGGTCTAAAAGACACGTTGATGGTTTGGAGGAAGTAATTATTGAAGTTAACTCAGAAAGATCAGTTGGAGAAAAAGAGTCTAACTTAACATCAATGGTACTAAGAGTAGCTGTAGATAATATTACATCTGTGGGATGATTACTGGTAATTTTTTCTCTAATTATAAGAATTTTATTTGTGAAGTTCATGAAGTCATTACTAGTTAAGGTTAAAGGGATGGTTGGCTCAACAGAGCTCTGACTGTTTGTCAGCCTGGCTACAGAGCTGAAGAGAAACCTGGGGTTGTTCTTATTTTCTTCAATCAGTGATGAATAGTAAGATGTTCTGGCTTTATGGAGGGCTTTCTTATAAAGCAGCGAAACTAAACTTTAGTGCAGTCACAACAAGTCCTGATCTAACTTTACTATTTACTTATGCTAACTGTGAAACTTCATTTTGTGTTAATCTAGATGAGTTTGCTGTGTTTCCAGTCCCACTTTACTGACTCTGTCTAATCACAGATCCTCAGGGAAAAAGCCCATAACCCCTCCGGCCTCTGATGGGAAAATTCCAACCCGCTCCAGGAGTCGGACTGGTGCTCATGTGAGCCATGAGAACGTGGAGCCAAACAGTCACATAAGCAAACGCAACACCAAAACTGCACCAGCTCAGAGCGAGTCTCGCAAGAGGTCATTAACAGGTAAGCAGCCAGTCAGCAAACAGTAAACACCTGCTGAGGGTGAACTTTAACAACTAACATATAAACATCCACTCAACAATGTGTGCACCAATCAGTAACCAGCCAGTTAACATCAAATAACTCTGACAGGTGAACACTGTGGTCCAGGCAGGTTTCTGTGCAGTACAGGAGCATGGACCACAGTGGCACCATCCTGATTCTTAGCCAGCAGAATTGGTGCATTTGCTGCTCTGATCTGAGCACACATCGGTCTCTCCCTCTGCTCCTCGTAGAAACTGCCGCTCCTCGTAAACTGTCCAGACCCATCCTGCCTGTCCTTCCCTCGTCACACTCTCCAGGAGCCTCCTCATCGTCCTCTAACCGTCGTTCCTCTGGGAGGAACCAAGGAGTACACGAGCTGTCCGCCTGTGAACAGCTGACAGTGGAGCTAGTCAGACATGAAGACAGCTGGCCCTTCATGAAGCTGGTGTCCAGAACCCAGGTACTGCACCCATGTAGCTGTGTTTTAGTTTTATGTTTAGACCAACAAGAAGTTGATGAAAACGAAGCAGAAATGTTTCTCAGTCCGTTTACATCAGAATTAAATTTAGTCGTCTTAGTAACAGTTAGATACTTACCTCAAACACAACTTGGTAGGAAAAGCAGACGAGTCAGGTTTAGGAACATGAACTATGGTTCAGGATGGAGGTTTAACTCTGAAGATGTTGTGGACCACAGCACTGTGCATCCTTTGTTTTGTGAGGGAAATGGATGCAGCAATATGCAGGTATGCTTTGACAGTACGTTTGGGATCATTGTCATGCTGGGAAATGGACTTTTTCCACAGTAGTAATTAACTTCAGGCCCGGGTCGAGTCTATATTTGATGTCATTGTGTCTGACCAGAAACGCAGCCTGTAGCATATTTCTTTACCCGTTACATCTCCATACAGGTTCCAGATTACTATGACATCATTAAGAAGCCGATTGCGCTGAACACCATCAGAGAGAAAGTCAACAACTGTGAATACCAGACTGCAGGTGAGCCACGTGTAGATCACTGCGGTCAGAACATGCGTGCTTCTGTGCACAATGTGAACATGTGACTCTCATTTCTCTCCATTTGGTGTCTGCAGGCGAGTATATCTCAGATGTGGAGCTGATGTTCTCCAACTGTCTTCAGTATAATCCTCGTCACACTAATGAGGCGAAGGCCGGACATCGACTGCAGCGGTTCTTCCACGCTGAGCTGAGCAGACTTGGCCTATTGGAGCACGGCTCTGCCCTGCCCACCAAACGCTCCCGACACTGAAGCAGACGCACTCCTGTCACCTTCACCGCCGTCCAGGGACTGGAAAGAGGAGACAGATGTAGAAGTTGCAGTTGTTTTGTTCCCGAAGGACTGAAAAGGTGTCAAAATATATTAGCAACCTGTGTGCTCCGTTAAGCAAAGGGATAACGGAGGGCAAAGGTCAGCAGAACCATTAAATTAATGTTAAAAAGAGTTAAAGTTCCATTGTTAAAATGAGCTTTTTTCCACTGCTTCTTACATGAATCTGTTCTGGGAGCTCTGCCCTTCTCATGTGTTGTGCGTTTAAAAGCGTCTCTCTCAAAATTAAATACGTTGCAGCTGCTGTGAGTTCATGGGAAAGTTGTGAGCTAGGCTTTGTATGACCTGCTGATCAGGGCATTTATTTCTAGTCTATTGGATAGACAGACATGTAGCAGATTGATGGGCACAGACACACTGTGGCGCTGTAACGACAGTAGAGTCCCACCTGATTTCACCTGATGTTTCCTTTAATCCAGAAAAGCAAAAACCACTAAATACTCTGGGACTTGAGGCCCTCAGTGTTTTCTCAGGGATTTGTGATTTCAGTGTAAACTGTTTCAGCTAGTTTTACTGAAGCGGAGCAGCTGCAGGGATTCGGGGCTCAATCGATGGAAGTCTGTGGCCAGCACTATTACAACAGTAAATTGTATTTAAATAGGTTTTCTAGCACGTGAAGTATGACCAGATTGGTTTACAAAGGAACATTTAATAATAGAAAAATAACTGATTAATTCCTCTACGTGAAGTTATTTGATGGCATGCACAGCCTGCAGCATGACCCTTGGGCTGACGTGATTGCAGCTTCCATGCACTCAGACTCACTGTGGGGCGTAGAGCTGAGTAACTTTAGCTTGGTTTGAACGGAAATGCTTGATTTTTCATTAGGATACAATCAGAAGACCATAAAAACTTTTTGGCTAAATTTCATTTAATGATGACACTGAAACAACAGCCTTGTTTTTATTGGGATGTATAAATTTAAAACACGCAGGTAATATGTACATGTACACCTGTTTATGCTAATTATCAATTCAACCAGACTGTGTTGATTGTGGCTTCCACAGACTTCTGTAATGATCTACTGGGTGAATTTCAAACTGTAACCAATAACATGCAGCTAGTAGTGCAAACCCTTTCATTATATTGCATTGGCAGAGTTATAGATGCAGTTTGAGAGACTATGAAGATGCTTCAACATCTCAGGAACACCTTCCCCCAGCTTAGCATTGAGACTCAAAGGATTCCTTTAAAGCTCCATTCAGACGGGATTCAGTTTAAAGGCGTGGATCTGAGTCTGTCGTGCATGGAGCTACTTGATAACAATTCTCCTTGTTAATCTGACAAAACACAAAAGTCTGATCAGATCTGATCACTAAAGAAGTGCACGATTTGAGCTGGTCCTTTAAGCTGCAGCTGCCTCTGTGGATTTGTAGTTTTTTGTTTGTTTGTTTGTTTTTTGACTACTGAGTTTTTCTACATTAGTTGTTTTGGTTTTGTCAGCATTGTCAATTACATGCTGTGATGATGATGATGATGATGATGATGATGTCTGCGTTGAAGGATGGAGGTCAGCAGTAGACACTACACTGGAGCTGCTGCAGCCTCACTCCTCCCCTCCCCATCTGCTGTGTATTTATTTAGCCTCAGTGTTGTCTTTATTTATGACTGCTAGCCTCCCTCTTCCTCCTGAAGCTTTCATCTGTTTGTTGTTCTAATGTAAAAATAAATTGCCTTTTTATAAGCAACTACATCCAGTCTCATGATCTTTCATCTTGAAAGTTGCTGTTGTGAATCTGTTTTCTTACATTATATATTCTTTTTTTTTTCGTACATTATAATCTGAGGCGATAACTGAAATATTCACCGCTCTTTGTTACTATCAAAATTAATCAGGATCTAAAAAAAAATGAAAGCCATCATGTAAAGTCCACATTTGAGCGCACAAAAACAGTTTGCAGACTAGTTGGGCAAAGAAGCCTCTGCCACCTATCTCGACCAGGTTCACCTGTGTCTGCCAGTCTTTATCACCACAGTCCTGCACCATGGCTCCTCGCACACCTCTTCCGATGACCAACTACACAATGATGATCTTTTTCCCTCTGTGGAGAGCAAAACTACTGGTCTTATGGTAGTGTGGATGACATCTGGAACCTGGGGCCTCCTCTTCAGGTCTGCTCTTGGTTTCCATTCTTAGGCTGACTGAAGTAGACTTCAGCTGGTTTTACTGGATACTGCTGGCTTTGCTCCCTCTGCCATAAAGGTTATTGCAGGTGTAGTCTTAGCTGTAAACGGACTTTCCCTGAGCCAGTACGCTGTCCCAATGAGATACGATGAGAGATGACAACCCCAACCCCCGTCCCAAAGAAAATATGTAGACTAATAAAAAATTAGTAGTTAATGAAAATAATTTTAACATCTGGATTTTGTGTGTGTAGACCTGATCCAACTTCAACCTTGGCAGAATGGTGGTTGTGTGTGTGTGAGAGAGAGAATGTGAGACTGGCTGCAGGAAAATATTTTTTTAAAGTGTCTCCAGCCTATTATTATACATGATTCTGAAAGAGAAAGATCCTATTAACTTTAAGCGCCTTGAGACAACCTTCGTTGTGATTTGGGGCTATATAAATAAAATTGAATCGAATTTGTGAGCCGGCTCCCTGCCTTCCTGTATTGGGGTGCCTCGTTGAAGATCCACACTGGTCACATCAGTCTCACAGATATATGAGGAGAATCTCACACTCACACACACACACACATATATATATATATCTAGATAGATAGATATAGAGATCTATCTATCTAGATATATATATATATATATCTAGATAGATAGATAGATAGAGATATAGATAGATATCTATCTATATATATATATAGATAGATAGATATAGATATATATATATAGATAGATAGATAGATATAGATATATATATATAGATAGATAGATAGATATAGATATATATAGATATCGGAGATCTCTGTCCAGAAGAGCGCAGTCCTGGGAACAGCTAAGATACTGCGCAGGACCCTCAAGCTCCCAGGCCTCTGGTAGAGGACCCGAGCTTGAAGGATAAACCGCCCGCAGGGGCGTGCTGGGTGTTATATATATATATAGAGATATATATATAGAGAGAGATATATATAGAGATATATATATCTCTATATATATCTCTATATATATAGAGAGAGAGATATATATATATATAGATAGATAGATAGATAGATAGATAGATAGATAGATAGATATTAGCTCAAACAGCTGAAAAGCCTATTTTTCCCAGCTCGGGCGTGTTGAATTCTATAAGAAAGCCATAAATAGGTGTGTCTGAGTCTTCTATCAAAAATTACAGCTGTCTTTATGAAGTTGTAGAAAAACGCTTTATTTCGCGTTTCTCGCTATTACATGCATTTGAATGGAGTTCTCGCTAAAACTAAGCTGATCTTGTGAAAGTTTACAGTGAAGAAAGAAGTAAACGAAGCTCTTTAAACATTGAATGCGCCTCCACAGCTCTTCCTGGTGAGTCTTACGGAGTGACATCGGTCAAGAACCGCCTCTCTTCCTCTTCCACTCCCTTCCAGACTCCCCCCTCCTTTCCTTCTTCTTTGGTCAGCCGGCCACATTCCCCGCTACCTTTCACCCACGAGAAATACCGTTCTGACAGCAAAGCAGTCCGGACAAACCCCGGGACAACATGGTAAGAACCAGCCGAAACGGTCCCGTGTGCTGGGCCGAGGTTCGGAGGAAGCTCATTGTTTGCGGTGCGGATCTGTGACACGCCGTTATTTGCGTCTTGGCGTGTAGCATGATGTTAGCTAGCATGGCTGCCGCTCCCGTTAATTAGCCGCTCTCTCAGCAGATTATTCGGTGTCTACGTGGTCGAGCCACCTCCGACATCAGGATTTAGTCTACTGACGTCGGTACATTGTCTTTTTTTAGTTTGTGTTCAAAGATTTTTATCCAAATTAACGGCCCGTATTGTGAGTTGGGCCAGGCCGGACCAGACTGGGCCGTGCCTAGCCGCAGGCCGTGTGGCCCGGGGCGGCCATCTTATTCCAGTTGATGTCCTGGTGCGGTGACGGGCCTGAATCCTGCGGGTCCGTGTGAACGAGGTTCGGACCGGATCCGGCCGGCTGGACCCGCTAGATTAAGGTGAATGGGGTCCGGAAGGCCCGACCGAGTCCGAGTGAATGAGACGGACGGTGACTGTGCAGTCTGTATGGCGGCCTGTAGGCTAAGCTGTGGTGCACCAGTCAAACCAGCCGGGGACTTCATGTCACTTCTGATTGTTTTAAAGAGAGCAGTCCTGATTCTCTTTGCTTTATTCTGAATTTATTAATGCATCCGGCGGTTTTCTTCATTGTTGTTATTGTTATTTATAAGCAGCTAATGCAGCAACTAACTTTGTGTAATCTGACTAATATGGATCAGTTGTTTGTGTATGCGCATCGATGTGTTTTTATACCTCGAATATTTTTCATTTGAAATGGAAACTCATTCAGTATTTGTGGATGCCGTTCTGTAGATGCTAAGTTGGAAAAGCATCATCATCATATTGCCTATTGCATTTTATCGTTTTCACTTATCACCTCTCGGTCTTCAGAATCCAAAGTCCAAACCAGAGATTGTTTTTATCATCAGAGACTTTGGGTGGAGCTGTCATGCCAGCTGTGGTCATCACCGTCTCCCACTTGTAGTGTTTCCTCAGGTCGTGGGTATCATCCTCCTTTAACATAGAAAGATACACTTAAACATTTGTAAACGTGTGTGTGTGTATGGGGGCGCGGTCAGTGCTGCATAGTATAACAAACAAAAAGTGTTTACATATTTGTCAAATATGTATCGATCCAGTGATGCCAAATAGTGATATTTTCTTATATGAAATGCAAATATAAAGCAAACTCGTTTTGTATCAGTTGCTCTTGCAGTCCACCAGATGGCGCAATTGAAGAGTTTTTTCCCCTTAGTGAGCTCGGCAGAGGTGATGACCACATGTGGGATAACGGAGGCAGAGATAGAAACGAGGAAGGTGTCATTTGTGTTTAAATCAAATTTCTGGACATTTTTTTTTTAATGAAATGGAAGTGATACATGGGGTCTGCAAGGAGTGTCATATGAAAATATAGAAATTCTACGAACATCAGGACTCATGTTACACCCAGGGATGGCTTTGCCTTCCTGTGTTAATGTTAACTCTGAATCAGCTCAACTGAAAAATGATCCAAGCCAAGTGCTGGTTGGCTACCTCCCAATTCAGAGCAAGCCAAGAAAATAACACTCTGTCTGCAAAGACCTGTGTCTGTACAGCATTGTGGAAAATGCTCCAAACACTGGAACCCAGGTATGGGATACCATCACAACGTGGATTCTCTACAGAAAGAGAAGAGGCCGTTCCCGAGCCAGTAGGCGATAAAGCTCAGGAGGAATCTGACATCACTGAGCAGGATGACAGACCGACACCCTGTCATACCAGCCAGGATGAGGAAGCCGTGTGGGCTAACAGACTGGCTTGGTCACACTTATGATGATGTTGGAGCACCTCCAAAATTATTATCTGCCACAGCTGCAGAGGAGGAAAAAAGATCTCAGGAGGGCTACACCACTGGCACTAAACTGGTAGAAATCCCATGAGCAAGTCTGTCCTCTCCTGGCCATGCTGGGGGGAAAAACTCCTTTGTATCCCAGGTACTAGTGTTTTAATAGAAGTCTTCTCGATGGCTGGAGACATCGTCACACTTTGACCTCACAGCATGTTGATCAGCTCCTCTTTAAGAATCACAGTGTTGACTTTCCTAAGAATACTAACTTACTGTCGTTGGAGGCCGACCCGTGACTGCTGCTCTCAGATGCTGCTGGGCTTGTCTGTTTTCTCGCTGTGTGCTAGAGAATTTAAATACATGGTGTCAGCAGTATTAAACTTTATGTCACATAATATAAAATGTTATCAAATTTGGACCGGTATTATTGGAGACTATATTACAAACAGTTGTAGACTGAGGCTCCTCATTCTTTTTTGACATTTTGCAACGAATGAAGAGCTTCACTGAGTTACTGCCTCTTCTTTGCAGGCATCAGGTGTGACAGTGAACGATGAAGTCATCAGAGTGTTCAATGACATGAAGGTCAGGAAGTCTTCAACCCAGGATGAGGTGAAGAAGAGGAAGAAGGCGGTGTTGTTCTGTCTGAGTGACGACAAGAAGACAATCATCGTGGAAGAGGGAAAGCAGATCCTGGTGGGGGACATCGGCGACACAGTGGAAGACCCCTACGCCAGCTTTGTCAAACTCCTCCCACCCAATGATTGTAGATATGCTCTGTATGATGCCACCTACGAGACCAAGGAGTCCAAGAAGGAGGACCTGGTTTTCCTCTTCTGGTACTGTATTATTTGGGAGTAGTCAGGATTATGAGATCAGTCTGAATCTGGGCTGAAGTAGATGGGATGGGTGCAAGACTTTGAATACATAATCTTTCTCTGTGACAGTATATACATATGCTATAAATAATTTTCTTTACAAAGTTGATTTGCTGTAGTTTCCTCGCTGACAGTTTAACCAAAAGGCATTTCCAGTGGAAACTGGCCGACATATCCTCAGCATAACCATGTATAATATCCACAAAACTTAAAAAGAGGTTATACACACACAATACGGTAACATTATGTTGAAGCACAGTACGTATCACTCTGCGAGGCTCCGCCTACGATAGCCGTAATGCTCCAACAATCCATCAAGCGGTGCGGCTTCGTAG